CGAAACGTAGCCAACTAAACGGCATCAGTTCACTGACTGGCTGCAGGTGACCGAGGACCTCGACCCTGGGAGCAAAACTCAACGGCGGACACAGGCGCAAACATGCACTGTCAACTCGTTAACTAAGCGGAAGCTAGTCTACCAGAACAACTGTTCTGCGAGTGGTTCGCTCGTTACTTTAAATGGCCGTAGTTGGAGCTGGCTGTCCCCCGAGGCTGCACCATACTTGCACATATATCCGATTTTGTGCGCTTTATGTGACTGTAGGGAATCTTAACAACTAGGCCTAGTTGACACAGACAAAGACTCATCGTAGATGCTTGTTAGTCTGTGTGCGCCTATTTGAAAACCCACTCTTTTACGCTCTTTATAGATAACATGCGGGCTTGAGAGTTCATCGTAGTTCATGTCAGAGCCGTTTATCGATTGTGATTCGAATGCTGATATTTTATCAGTAATTAAAGCCCCTGCGGTATGTCAGTTGCCGTGATCAACTGTATGTAGCCTTTACGAATGGAACCGAATGCTCCGACAGTTCACAAGACCTCCGAGAGATGATACTTCGAATATTCCTGAATTCACATGCACATGGGCAACCAAATTACACGGCTACCATTCCAACTAATCAAATTTCTTCTTGTCCAAATGTCACGACAGGAACGGATGCCCTCCAAGGGGACGATTGCGAGCAAATGCTGTAGTGATTCTTACGCATTAATCTACCCCCTTTTTAAGGATAGCCCCGTTGTAGGCTACACCATAAACCTTCCTCTGCTAAACATTGGCTGGGCAAGCCGTGGAATAAATCTGCTAAAGAGCAGTACCCGCTAAGTGCTTGGGTACTTGTTGTTGCTTCGCTTGTGTTCACAGCTGTAGGGTTTGCCAAATCGCGTTTTTTCTCGAGTTACAGGGAGTTTTCCAAAAGTAGCGCCGTCAAGGCAGCTGACGTTCATAGATATGTAAACTGCGTTCTGAGTGGTTCGGCTGACTGCCAGATGTTTATTAATGTCACGAAGTCCTCTTGAATGCAACGCCACTGAAAGTTCTCCCACCTTTAACCAAATAGTCACTCAATACATATAGGTGAAGATTTTATCTTGCGGCATTCAATGTTTGGATATCAAATTGTCGACGAACCACAAAAAAGTGGCCACAATATACCAGGTTGTGTAGACCTCGTAGAAACCCTCCGTCTACCAATTGACGTTCAGCTTTCTGATATCACTCACAGTAATCACGGTTTTGACTTCACCCTATGGAATGCATTCAAGTGAGATGTCCGGCAAGACCAATCTGAGCTCCAAAGGCGTCCATGCCTGTCTCAGGCAGTCTGATTGGATAAACATGTCGTTTATGGTTACTGACTGAACCGCACTGATGAAAGTAGATGTAAATTTGCCACAAACCACGATGTTCGCCGTCCAATAAAGTCTCGATCGAATCCCCAACGGAGAACTGACCAGCAAGGTCGGAAGAATGGAAGTATATTGCCATACGCTAACAGCGTACTTTATAAAGGCAAGCAAGGTATTTATGAGCACACATAAAATACAGTACGCGCCAGAATTCCTGCAATATGCCGACATATGCGAAAGATTGATATATTTTCGCTAATCGGCCTTGAGTAAGGTTTTGATACTGATTATATTGTAGTCCATTCGGAAGTTATTTCACTTATGATAAGATGCGGACTTTTAACGAGCTTCGTTCTGACCAATAACAAAACCTATGTTCTGTAAAAGTAACTACTTATATATTATGCGTTATCATTGATTTTGACTGCCTTTATAAATTCAAATATATTTTATGGAAAGCGATCTTTGATTTTGACTGCCTTTATAAATTCAAATATATTTTATGGAAAACATGCACATGATTTTGACTGCCTTTATAAATTCAAATATATTTTATAGAAAACATGCACGGGATTTTGACTGCCTTTATAAATTCAAATATATTCTATGGAAAACATGCACGAAAAAATAATTTATTTTACTCATTTGGTAGCAGATAATGCCTCCTTTAATTTTTATACTCAAGGAAACGGTATCATTCGGTTTTAGAAAAAATTCGAATTATAAGTTTTTTTTACGATTGTGAGGTTTTCATTCATAATACATCGTATCCGTCAATTTATTAATGCTGCCTTTACTGTATAAAGCAAGTTCCACACCTATTGCAACATTTTATGAGTACTATGTGACATTGTCCTCAAACTCTAAGCGAAAACGTACTTTTCCCTAAACAGGATGTACACAGTGCGCAGTTTGTAAACCTTGAATTCGAGTGTACCAGTCAGAAGTTTCAAAATTATTCGGCAATTTAAAAACTTTCTTAAAACTGAAATACACCCTTATTTTAAGTAACAAATTTAAAGGAGGCGTAATTTGCTACCAAACGAGTACAAGAAGGAATTTTTTCGTGTAAGTTTTCCACAAAATATATTTGAATTTATAAAGAAAGTCAAAATAAATGATAAAAACGCATACTGTTTGAGTAGTTACTGTTTACAGAACCTACAATTTTTTAGTGGTCAGAACGAAACTCGTTAAAAAGCGCCCATCTTATCATGACTGAAATAAATTCAGAATAGACTACATGGTAATCAGTAGCAAAACCTGAGTCAATGCCGATTAACGAAAGGGTATCAATCTTTCGCATATGTCGGCATTTTGAATGAATTCTGGTGCGCACTGTAGGTCTGCAATCGGACCAATCGGATATTGTCCCCAAGTAGGTAGCGGCTCGACTACCTTAGTGACTCATCCGACTGGCAGAGTAGAGTTTGTGTCTTAGCGGGGTAGAGTCCTAATCCCTGACAGCAGTTTACGCGTTATCACGTGCGCTGAATGTGGGCAGATCGATGGTCTGGCACAGTAGGGAGTCCCCAGGGCTGCATATAGGCAAGTCGGTTAGAGAGGCTCCGAACACTAGACAGATTTGCAAACTAGTAGGGGTTTTGCAGATTGGAGTAATTTATTTGACCCAGTTGTGAAAAACTAGGTGTCATAAGCGTGCAATATCATACTGATTGTATCCTATAAATACTGCAACTCCTGTGCATGAATTTGCAGTTTGTGCTAATGTTTATGCTTATGCCTCTGATGCAGAATTCGCGACGCACTTCGAAAAGTTAGGCGACTAAAAGTCTTATCCTAGTGATATCATCTTCTTCTCAATTACTTCCTGAGTCTTGCATGTTCGCTTTTATTGACAAACTGGGTTGTCTCGGTCGGATACGAACCCACACCAGTAAGGAGAAGCTTTAGTACAGATAACGCTCTACTCAACTCAGTTACTAAGCCCCATCAGGAGCCGTAATTTTCATTACACTTGGGTCAACTTACCCACCCAGCGGACGGCAACGTATGGAATCCACGTGTCCTGATTCAGTGAGCTGCCTACCCAAGCAAGATTTCCTAAGCAGTCATTTTGGGATCCATCTGATAACTATTAGGCGCAATTAATTGGTAGTAGTAGACGAGTTGGCTAGAGCTTTGAGCCTTTCCCTTACTGGCACCGGTTTGAATACCACCGACGCTGCAGAGGTTTTGCGAGTAGGTCAAATGTAACATCCAGTTCTACCAAAACTCCCTACTGAGTAATTGCGCCAGGAAGTCATCTAATGGTTCTAGATTGATTGCTTAGTAAATGCTGCTTGGGCCAACTGTATCAGAACTGCTGGATTTTATATTCACGTTTCGCTAGGCCGGGTGGGTGGGTAACCTGATCTAAGCCAGATAAAAACTCACTGCTCCCGTTGTAGGGGGGTGGGCTCGTAGCTTAGTTGGATAGACTGCTGACTGTACAAAAGCCTGTAACGGTTCTACAACTCTCCTCCTTCAAACTCGAGACGCCACTGACGTGTTCTCGCAGGATAAATCTTGGTTGCCCAGTCGCGCCTTTCCCAGCGCAAAGGCGTATCTCCGCACCGACGCGCGAACTTTGCCCTCGCACGACCGGGGCGCATATACGCGCCCCAAACTGGTCGACCAATCAGAATCCCGAAGCGTTCTGTGTG